TCCAGAAAATTTCAGAACATTCTCGACTGTCTTCCTAGTGTTCTGGTTCGAAACATTCTACAACTTGCCGCGTGTGTAAAATCAGCAGTAGTAGGCTCCTTGGTAACAATCGCCTTTACTTTACCAACATACATATACGTTGTAACTTGTACGCTGAGTGTTTGAGTTTGGAGGGGAAAGTTCCTCTCATAGGACGTTTATTCGCAGTCCTACTTTCGTTTGCCATTGTCCATCCGTGACGAAATCAGATGCTGAGCAGGCGTCTTCAGGCAACACCGCCTAAAAGACAAGGCCTGTGCGTGACGTCATTGTTAAACAACCCCCGACCCGCCCCAAGTGGTGAACACGCCGAAGGATGACGAGAGTCACCGCCAAGCGAAAGACGCATCCGTCGTGGCGCCGCCACGTACTAGTCTAGAGCCCGTGAGGCGCTAGCATACATGCTTTCACATGCTCCCCTCCTCCTCCTTCTACTTTCTCCATCCTCCTCCGTACCTTCCCCTTCTTCTACTTCGCAGGTGACGTCAATGTTCCCGCTAAAACTAGCCGAGAAACTGAATTTGTTCAGAAGTAAAGGGACACGAAGTCATGTGACGTCATCTTCCTTGCTAAATTTAGCAGGGAATCGAATTTCTGTTGAAGTCACGTGACGTAAATTTTTTCGCTATATTTTGCGGAGAAACTGAATTTGTCCATACGTGACGTGACACCAACGTTACAAGATTACCTCAGTCATGGAACTCTCGCAGTTATAAAAGCCCCCTCATTATGTCAGTCCGTTTGCTATCGTTTGAAGCGCCATCTAGATTTCCGTTTACAAACTGTGTCTTCCATATTGTACGGTGGAACGCCATGTAGACGTTGTGCTTCGAAACATACGTGTTCCATAAAATACACTGCACTTACTATAGCAGCCGCCCAGCGCGTGGAACGACTTGGTGCGAGCCGTGGGGGCGGAGGTGAAGTACTACTCGTGCAAGCACCGTCTATGAGCAGTTCCGTAACTGAGCTAATCTAATAACGTTGCGTGACACCAAGACATGTGACATCATTTTCAAAGCTAAATTTAGCGCCGAAAGTGAATTGGTGTTGAGGTCACGTGACGTCAATTTTCCCGCAAAATCTAGCGGAGAAACGGAATTTATTCATAAATGACGTGACACCAAGTCATGTGACGTTATTTTACCCGCTAAATTTAGCGGGGAATTAAATTGGTGTTGAGGTCCCGTCATATCAATTTTTCCGCTAAATTTAGCGTGGTTACGCCGACGCCGACTGCGACGCCGCTCAACCCGGAAACAGGTGCATGTGAGCTGCGCTCTAAAAAAAAAAGTCTGAACTCCTGTATAAACGCAGCGAAGCCACCGTTTGGCACAAGAAAGAAGAAAAGGCGCAAGCGGCCGCGACGCCAACTGCCGCCAACAAGCAAGCATACGGCGTGGAGAGCCGGAGTCATTAGCAGACGAAATTTTCGACTCCGAAGCGGCGCGCGTTCCCCAGGCGGCGAGAACTCGAGAAAAAACAGTCAAAATAGCCCGACAAACCATTTTTAAATCGATTATGTGTCCCTTCAATGTGCTTTAATACTGAGGTTGATATAATCGTGCACTATATCGCCATTTTCGATGCACGCATCGAAAAAGCCCTCGCGCCGCTTTTAGGTAGGAAAGATCGTCCGCTAATGACGACGGCTCTTGACGCCGTATGCTCGTTCTTTGGCGGCAGTTGGCGCCGCGACAGCTTGCGCCATCTCTCGTCTCCCCTGCCCAACGGCGCCCTATTTATTTTAAAGACGGGTGACTACGCTGCGTTTGCATGAGAGTCAAGACTTTTTCTGTCTTTTTTTCTCTTTTCCTCAATGAAGTTCGCTCTTTGCGAATGTTATAGAAAAAATGCAGCGCCTGTGGGGCAACGCTGCACCAAATCGTAGCGCCATAGGTTAAGAAACCAACTTTTGCCGTCGATTTAAAGAACCTGACGACTACTTGAGACACAATGTATAGTCCAAAGACGCGATAGTTTAATAGCTTAAAAAATGCGCAGGGCATGGCTTACCATAATCATATCTTGCTCCCTGATTAAATCTTCAGTATCCTTACGAGTGAATGCGCCGATATCATTTGGCGCGAAGCGATTATTGCATAATTGGGCCTAGACACGTCCTGCGTTGCTCAAGTTCTCCATGACTTTACTCACTTAAAACCCCTGCAGTTCGCCTGAGGGCGCAAGCCAATTCAAGCAAAACCTAATTAAGGACACGTAAAACTTTTATTTTAGCTAAGTTGGAGCAGCGCACTCTAGGAGACTTAATTACACCACATTTCACCTTATTTTTTTGCAGTAATGTTCGGCAAGCAACAAGATAAAAGCGACGCTCAGTGTGGAAGACAGGATCATCGGAGGTCAATTGGCGGCGCCCGGTAGCTAGCCCTGGCAGGCTGCGCTTTTCACGAGCCACGCATGGGCTCGGCTTGCGGCGGCGCTCTCATCACTGACAGGCGCGTCATCACAGCCGCGCAGTGTGTGTGGTACGTGAGACTCTGCTCAAATTCATAATTTTTAAGTGAGGCGCATAAGAGACAAATTTATAAAAGCAATAACCTAACCTAACTTAGCCTAACCAAGCCTAACCTAACCTAACTTAACCTAACGTAGCCTGCGCACGGGGCACAGTATCTCCGAATTACGCAGCCCCCATATATATAATTCCTGGTCTTCCAAAAGTTGGATTACCTTTGTGAGTGCAAGGTGCAGCTCTTCACGTACTAAACCCGAAAGCGATACTAAACACAATGCGAGGGCTCTACCTTCATGAGGGCAACTCACTGCGCTCAGAACTTCTCCAGAAGCGCGGAGTTCAGCTGCGTTAAACGTTGGGGCATGTTTTGCGGTTCACTGACAAAATGTACTCTTCCAATGAATTAAAAAAAACTAATTTTCTTTTTTTTATTTGTTTTTAACTGCCACTAACTGTAAGTCATTTTCGGCTACATGTCTTGGTTCTACGAGCAATTCACAGTTCAGCTTACAGCCGTAGAAGCTGCTTTTAAAGAAGGGCTTCTCCGCAATGGTGCTTGCGTGTAAATAAGTCATTCAAACTGGGGACACTTGTGATTAATAGTCCGCACGTTTACTCGAAGCTCCACAGAAAAATGTACAGTAAGATGGTATATCGTAAAAGATGCCAGTACGACATAAACATTCCCGCGTAAAGTATCTTTATCTAATCAGCCCTGTTAAGAAGGCCGCTTGGTGATTCGCGTAAATAAAAGAGTATGGGCTCGACCAAAAAAAGAAATTGTTTCCACTTTACTACTAAACTCGACGCAAGAACGTCAAACACCATCCTCAAGGTTCCAGCAGATAGAACAGTGTAACCTCAAATTAGAGGTTTACGAATATCGTTATATATTGATACAAATAAAATACGGGTAGTCAAATATTGACTCGAATATCGAATGATTAAAGGCTGATGCATTTATTAGGAACATAGTTTCTTTTTTTCATTTTTACATCTACACATTTTTACATACCCTACCGGCGAGAGTAAAAATGAATGCCAAAATCGCTGCTGTCGCTAAGTTGGTTCTCGGCAAAATACGTTAGCATTTCTCACAGAGGTTCCGACGCAGCAAAGGGTAAGAATTACACCTTTGCAACGGTCCGCATACTGTTGCTTTCGCAAAGCCAGTCTGTCCTCCCGGGCGTTAGTGGTTTCGGGTGTAGGCACCACAGAGTCCCTCAATCGCCGCCTACGGTCCGTACACTCATGTTCATGAGGAGCCAATCTTTCCTTCCATGTGTCGGCAGTTTCGCGCAAAACGGCGTCCCTTGCTGCCCCTCGGTTTTACGTTTCCGCGTACTTTGTGCCACACACACGGCCGCTCGATCCCCTTCTCTCGTACTCCCGCGGCGCGTCATTGGAAAAATGCCAGAAGACTCTCTCCCTCTTGTAAGAGGAAACGTGGACCTAACGAGCAAACGAACGGAGCGAAAGAACACGGTGGAAACCGCAACGTGGCCTCATGAAGCCAGCAGTTTAGTCCAGTCCAAGGCAATACAGTCCAAACGAAAGACGGATGCATGCCTCTGGGCAATATATGTTAAAACATTTAAAAGGTATTTAGAGCTTGCGACCCCTTTCTGACACGAGCTTGGTACGGCGCACAAAGTCCGGGGAGGTTGCTTGATCCCCACAGGGATCTTTCGATGCTCATTCACCAACACAGGATCATGTTTCCGGTCCTTGAGAAAGGCGTTGTGTGTGCCTGTCGGTGTTTGAAGTGGTGAGTTACATGCCGCGTATTGCGCCATGAATGCCCTTACTCTTGCGAAGTATTTCCAAGAGGAACTTCTTCCTTTTGGAATTTTCTTCCATTCGGTTGTCCGCTTTGGAGGCGGCGAAGTAGTGAAATCAGTTTAATCACGGGTAACATAGTTAGGAAGGAACGTTTCAGTCTCTTATACCGCGTCGACAATTGGACGCTTCTGCGCACGAAGTTCAGACCATGCAGTCAGCGATGCGGTCGCCGTCTCGGTTAGCCTTGTTCAACGGAACCAAAAATGGACTAGTGCTTGTGAATAGTTTTTTAAATATTCGGTAAAATTTGAATATTTGACAAATAATAAAGACGTAGTTTGCGAATCGAATTCAGTTATGAGACATATTATTAAATTGGTATTCTAAATTTGATATTTGCCCATCTCTAGTCAAACTGCTTATTTCACGCCCCTTCTTTATCTGAGTATCGCTTACTGTAAACCGCAGTGATTGGTTAAACTAGTGTTGTGGTAGGCGCTGAACTATTTGAGAGCGTGACAGCCGAACAGGATTGCAAACCTGGACATTGCAATCTTTTTACCCTTGAGTTCATGGAAACGCTGCGTTAACTTAGATTTTGATCACAAATTGGCTCTAAGTTTCTGAGCATCTCAATGATTAAAAATGATATTAAAGGATGTCAGATATGTGTGCAAAAAGTGGATCAACAAACGTTTTTTTATTGTCCAGTTGTTTCGGGTTCTACTGACATATTGTAAGATCCATAAAAGTTTGTTACACATTCTACGCGTGCCTTGGCTGTGGCGCATACACTACTATCCGTTCCCTCATTGTTATTACGATGCTGCATAAAGGGTTCGATCAATTTTGAAACGAAATATGACGCTTTTATATGTCTCGCTGGCACCTCTGGCTCATAGCAATTACCTCCTGATGCGGAATGGATTCCAGCAAGGAACCACTTTCCGTTTTCCTCGTACATCAATGGTCCCCCGCTGTCTCCCTGCAAAGGAAAGCACAGAGAAAACACCAGCGATTTTGGTATAAATTGCACTCCGATAAGGACAATTGGCAGCACTAAGCTCTTGCAAACAGTAGTGAACCCTGGAAATGATTAACACTTCCTAATTCTACGAGTCCTGACTACTGAACGTAATTACGTAAGCAAGAAAAGATAATTTATCCTTTGTTCTTGGAGAACAATCACTAGGTTCTTATGACTATCAGGCGTTCCTCCGCGAAAACCCTCTGGCCTTGGAGAGCTTGTGCGTAATTGGAACGACAAGACGCCCACAGTCTCGGGGTTTTCTCATTTGAACTGTCGGGGGTGGCTGCCGCTATCTACCATTGTGGGCAGCCTTCGAGAAAGCGGAGAGAGCCGCTTCTGCTGTTTTGGAAAATCCGGTGTCTATACACCAACTCAACTCTCCTACGTCACGCCGCGGTGGTGGCGCGCCGGACGCACTTCCGGTCTGGGGCGGTGGGCAGAAGTCGCCGTGCCAGACATGCATTCCTGCGTTCCCTTGGAAGAAACGAGACAAAAAACCTGCTTTCTCGTCAAAATGCTGTGACGGGGGTTGTACCAAGAGAGTCTGGAAAGGTTTGAAGATCAGTTTTCATGTGTTTTTGCCCCCTCCGTTCGTCCGAGAACGTGGATAGTAGGCGTGAAAAGGGCAAACCAGACGCTGCCGAACTACAACTGCGTGCGCGGGCAACACTTTGTGGTCAACGAGAAAAGAGTCAAAGTACAGGCTAGCTGGTGGAAGTCAACCATTTCGTCGTTTACCCTGAGACTGGGGTTTTTTTTTTGAAGAGCAGAAGAAACAGAAAAAACAGACAGGTGCTGTTTTTTCTGTTTCTTCTGCTCTTCAAAAAAAAACCCCCAGTCTCAGGGTAAACGACGAAATGGTTGACTTTGTGGTCGCCAGATGTATTTGCTTTGTTCCAACATAAACGAGAAAAAACCGCCAAGTTGTCCGAACCACCCACGGGTTCAGTGCGTCTTCAAATTCACACGGCCGCCTGATCGCTCAAACTTTCGTCTGCTCTTTCAAACGTCTGCTTTTTGTCGTCTGCTCGTTCATACAAAAGCGGCCCGTAGACCAAACTTTGACCCGGTTATTGCAATAAGAAGTGATTGCGGACCTCAAAAGACTTAAGTAGGCTCGGTGTAAAAAGTAGATACAAGATGTTGATCATTGGTACCGGTGGTCATCACCGACTTGTTACGCTTGGTCTGTTTCCGCTTCCGAATTTCAATATCGACGTCGATCATCGCCCCTACCTTCTACACTTTTGCAACACGAGCGACGTCGCTACCGAAAATAGCTGGAAGAATCTCATCATGGTTTTGGCGTCCATTCTGCGGCGTTCATGCGAATGAAACGCCGCACGTCAAATTATTTACGGAAAGTTTAGCGGCGTAACGAGCCTTGATAATTTCGCTTAAGCGATTAAAGTGGTAAGACATTGCGATGAGGACGTAGAATCGACAATTCCAACGCAAAAAAGATTAGGCAGACTCACACAGACGCCGACAACGTGACATTCGAGTGGTTTGTTGACGCGGGACGCGGTGCTTCTTACCCGTACCCCATTACGCATGCGTTCGAACTGTCGTCTGCTCTTTCAAACTTGGCTGCTTTTTGTCGTCAGCTCGTCCAAACGACAGCGGCCGGGAAACCAAACGTTGACCCGGTAATTGCGATAAGAACTAAGTGCAGGTTTCAAAACACTTTTGAAGGTTGGTTGGGGTAAGTAGGCTAAGTGTAAACAGATACAAGAAGATGTTTATCATTATTATTACCAGTGGCCATCAAAGACTTGTAATGCCAGATTCTACTTGCGGTTTTCAGTATCGACGTCCACCATCTCAGCTACGGTCCGCGCTTTTGCAGTCCGAGCAACGTCGCGTCTGAAAACAGCGAGCAGAATCTCATCGTGGGAGTCAGGCTTTAGCGCCCATTCTGCGGCGTCCACGTGAAATGAATCGGCGCACGTCACATTATTCACGCAAAGCTTTGCCTTGTTAGTTTTGCTGAAGCCGCTCAAATAGTCAGACATTGTTAGGAGGACGTAGCATCAACAATTCCAACGCGAAAAAGAGCACGGGGACTCCCATCGACGCCGACAACAACGCAATTCAATGGTTTGTTTATGGGCGACGGCGGGCTTGTTGCCCACCATCCACCGTGCATGCGCGGCGCCGGTGGCGTCCGCTAGGGGCGCTCCAGTTTGTTTGTAAACATGAGTTGGTGTCACAGAATTCGACTATTTTTTAAATCTTTTTTTTCAAAGTTTTCGCGAGGGAACGCATCCGGTCGTGGGACGCTCCCTTGCCCCGCGCGTTGAGCGGCAGGGTTCGGGCACCGTCCGTTTTCTGTTTTATGACCCCCTGGCCCCCCTCGTCCCGAGGACGTTTCTCGCGAGGTTTTTAGTTGGTAGCGATGGGCCCCTCGGCTTCCCGGAATGTTGGGAATGGTTTCCAGATGTCCGAGTGGGGGTGCGCTTTATGGTTCGCTGGGGTAGGCTCAGCTTGCCAGTGTGACGTGTGTTTTTTTTTTCTATATGTATTTTGTTGTTGCCACTGCAGAGAAACAATTATTTTCTTTTGGGCAAGGGGGAGTGGTGTCTGCCGCTGGAATTTGGGAAAGTGAGGACCTCGGCTTGATTCCGAGCCGAGTCACGGCAGTGTATGCGAAGACTGGACCGGTGGGTGGACGCGTCGCGAAAGTTGGGAGCGACAGCGGGTGCGGCGGAAGGGGGAACGCGGGAAGAGCTCGGAGCGGCTCTGCAGGCCTCCCAAGTGTGTGTGCTCGTGGGTGAGTGTGGTGCCGAGGAGCATCTCACGGAGCATCCAAGCACGCACAGACTTCCCCGTTTCGACCAGCGTCGCAACAGGCCCGCGTCACCCACACCACTCTCCGGACCCAGGTTCGCTCACTCACTTTAGTAGAATTGTATAGCATTTAGAGTCATTATTGTGTTATACATTTTTTTTTTGTTCGTTTGTTCTTGTGTACTGTCCAGTGTGGACAAAGCCTTTAGACCGCTGCTCAGCCGGTTATTATTTTTTTGGTTTTGTTTTGTGAGTAGCGCCTTTCGCGATAAAAAAAAGCGGTGTGATCTTTGTTTTTTTTTTTCTTGAATTTCACTATGTGTATAAGCGCCGCGCGCGAGAAGGGCAGTGTTAGCGTGTGATTATTATTTTTTTGTTTGCATTTGGTGTGTACGTTGTCTTGAACGTGAGTCAAGTAAATCCATCGTTATTTTAACGCAACGTCTCCGTCTCGTTCCTCGCCCCTCACAGTGAGTCCGTCCACCAGGGCGTGGACCTATCGTCCGGTCAGCGGTCCAGACAAAATTATAAATTTTGTTTGCATGGGGATCATTCGGATCTTTTATTGTTAATTTTCACCGAACCTGTGACAGTTGGTGTATATACTCAAATGGCGTCCGCGGCAGCCGTCTTCATCGGTGCAGCATGAACGCGCGACAGTGTGGAAAGTGCGAAAGCTCAGGTGATCTCTTCGACGCGGGCTGTCCACACCAATAGGGTAGGAGTTGATGCTTTATGCACGCTGTTCTATGCAAATGATCAAAGTAGAACGCATGAGCGCCGAGAGACTGAGTGAGGCGCCCGTCCTGCCAGGGAAGGAAAGAGCGACGGGCTGTCTCGTGCTGACGGCGCTTCTCTCGCCTCCGCCCTCCCTCGTCGTTCAGCCCCTCCTTCCCATTCCCACTTCCTGTATCTCCCCATCTCTCCCCCCCCCCACTTCACCCGATCCCCCTCCGCCCCTCATAGTGTTATGATCGAGCCTACCCCACTCTGTTTATGTGTGGCGCTCGGTGGTGGTCGATGCGCCGCGCTCACAGGGGAGAGAGAGGGCACTCCGCGAACTAAGGCGTCGATAGAAATATTCGCTGTTGTTGTCACACAAAGAAGAGAAAGAGAGAGAAGGGGAGAGGGGGAGAGAAAGCGGGTGTAGGGAGGGGAAAGGGCCGTAGAGTGTGTCGTGACTAATAATATTAATAATATTATTAATATCAAATATTAATATTAAGAAAAAGAGTGACCGGAACCGAACCGAAAACCGGAACAGAACCTTGTTGAATCACGGCCAAGGGGTGAAGCAACACCTCCTAGAGAAGAAGACCACAGCGCTCCGAGTGGTTACGTCACAATGTCGTAAAGAGGGAGGCCATGGTGCAACTACGCGAGAAAATATCTGCTATCCACGTGAAACAAATGTTTTTTGTCAAGCGGCGTGGTAGGGTTCGTGCGCGTTTATCCGACGTTAATATAGGTTTTAAAGGCGCAGTCCTGTACAATATATTATATATATAATATAAACGTAATATGTGACGCGTTACCAAGGTTGACAGAGCCAAATTTATATTTATGAGTATCCGCGTAGCCGCGGGACTACGTGCAGCCCCGCAGCTCTCCACACCTTTTTGAATGGACCGGCTCCGATGCGACATCTCCCCTCAGCTTCGATTCGGGTAAATTTACGTTGTGTGTGAGCTGCTGACTCTCTGAAAAGGAACGCTGAGACATTACAGAAGGGAAGGAAACCGAAAAACAAAATCCTGTCAACTCCGCAGGTAGCGCACACGAGCAAGAGATGGGTCGACAACGTGAAGGCCTTTTGTCGCCTCTGCTCTTGTGTGTGGTAGTTTTGAGTCTTGTATCCTCCCGTCTTATTTCTGTCATCGCCGCAGTCTCGGGTAGTTTTTTTTTTCTGTTCGCTTCATACTACGGTATTTACGTGGATTCATGGAACAAGTCGTGCTACCGTTTGAGTGACATCTGTGACAACTAGCATAGCCTCCTCTATACGGAAAAAGCCTGGCACATCGACGACGGAGCCATAGGGCGCGCGGCCGCAGGAAAAAGGAGAGGAGGAGCGCGCCGAACGGTGACCAATATGGTAGCGCAGAGCAGGAAGGGCAGACCTAGACAGCGAGCGCTTGGGTCATGAGCGGCCGCTCCCCGAACCACGCTTGCTTTTGTGTTTTCGTCACCGTCGTTTTCGTACTCCGGGAGAAACGGGCGCGGCGATTCGAAAGGACGCAGGGAGAAACGGGAAAGGGTGGACGTTGAGTTTCTCCTCTCCACGATAGCGACAGGAAAAGAAAGAAAAAAAGAAAAAAAAAAGATTGTTTCTGCGTTTGGCTGCTCGCTCTTTTGTGGCGCTAGCAGGCAAGGTTCTCTCCGCTCCCGTTTCTCCGCCCCGCCTTTTCCATTTACGGCGGCCGTTTTTTCTCGCGACGCGCCAGGCTTTCTCCGTATAGAGGAGGCTATGCAACTAGCCAACGATTACTCCGGTCGATTATTGACAGACCTCTCTCCGTACAGAGAGAGACTTTTTGGAGTTCGTGTTCAAATGTTGTGGGACGTATCGATACGATCAACAGGTGAAAAACAACCTATTTACGGGCTTTATTTACAGGACGCAGGTAAACTGCTGCAATCGTGTTTTTTTAATCACGTGTAAAAATGGAATTTTGTTCTTTGCCTATTCGTTTGCAGTTGCGTCGATATATGTAAATATGCGTGGTAATCTAGTTTTCACTGGAAGGTGAAAAACACGTTTGTGTTACTATTGAAAGTGCGTCGTTTGTGGTTACGCGTTTATATACACGAATGTTATTTTATTGCCTTTAGCACGTTTATACTAGAATCTTACCTGTATTAAGGGAATAGTATTATTGTATACAAAATAAATAAATAAGGAGGTGGGACAAGTAAAGCCCTTTTCCCTCGTTGTCCTCTCGCCAGTGAGTATAGCGAAGGATTTGATATCAAGAGCGAAAGGTCTCCTAACTTTCAAAAGCCTTGCAATCAGCGGGAGGGAACAATAGCGGGGTAGCAGCGCCATGGCATGGGACCGGTCGCGGTTTGATCCCATGCGCGGTTATCACTGATCGTTTAACAGAAAATTGTACAATAGCTATTTCTACTCACTCGACATGTTCCTCCAGTGGAGCACACGGTATAGTCCGGTACAGTTCTGTTAAGTTGGTGTTTGCACTCCTCGTTACTAATAACGCAAATCTGTCTTTGTCTCAGCGTTTCTGTTTGGGCATCTGTCACCATTACTGCTGGTCTTGAAGGTGACATTTCGCTTAATTCTTCCTCCGCTGAACTTTCGTCATCGCTTTCTTCTTCGGGGTCTTCATAGCCTTCGTAATAGTCATACTCGGGGAAGTCTTCAACCACTAGATGGATTTATGAAATATTTGGTTGCATCATACAGGTGACACGCAGAGTATCTGATTTTTGTTTGTTCATGTGTTTTGAGATATATTTGATTGTAAATAGGAATAAAACAACAACACGTATTTGAAGCGAATATAAGCGAGTCGCTCAGTAACATAAGACATGCCTTTTTTGTTAATGGTAACTATGCAACTTGTTCTTAAGAAAAGATATTTAGAAAACCAGTAATTTATCATTTAATTATTTGAATAATTAAAAATATTTAGACATTCATTGTACTCTGCAGTCCAAGGCGGTAGAAGGAAAAGACATTTCCTCTTGCCAACGTCCTCTCCGCCAATTACGGTTCAAAGGTTTCTTTATATACAAAATTATAACCCACACCTCTCGCTGGCGGTCCCTCACAATTCAGTCGGTAATAACATCATAATTTTTGTCAGTTACGACAAAAACAAACTAGAGCCGCCAACTGTGAGGCATGTTACGTAACTCCGACACCACAAGTCTGCGAGCTCGCAAGCCGCATAGCCTAGCTGCTTCGATTGTTCCCTTAAAACAAAACAATAAAAGGGTCACAAATATTATAGATTATAGGCTGTTCCACCAAAGTGCATATTATTCTCGGTTTTAATTAGTGAATTAAGAGTAATATTATTATGCATAACCTTCATATTCTGAGATCTTAAACCAATACGCGCTGCTTATTCGAGGATGTGACAGTGAACGCGGTACTTCTAATAGCTGTTCTAAGCAATCATAATTCACTACAGTAACACAAAATCTAATTATTACGTTGCCTTGTGACAGGCGAAAAATCCGGGTGGCTTGCCGATTCGATTTACGACGGAGATAGGGGACGTCAGGTGTAAATCGTTGCATTTTGTTTTAAATAAATAAATAAAAAGTGTGTCCCTGAACGCAACGCCACTACCCTTGCTTCAATTCTAGAGTTCCCCGGCGACAACGAACAAGATAATATCGAATTCGGCAACACATATTTAACTCTTACAAGCATCATTACTTCATGTGAAGAAGATAAAAAAGAAAAAAATATCGCTCCCAGGTTAATGAGCAACCGTGACTCATGCAGCAACCACTCAATTTCAATCACTATTTTTATTTATTTGACAATACTGCAGGTCATTGCAGGCCAAGCCGCGTCCTGAAATGACCTGAAGTTAATGGTAATAATTTTATTGCTGGTTTGCGCTAAATCGAAGACTTATGCCGAGCGAAATAAGAATTGCAGATTTTCCGTATGTCGTGGAGAACTTTATAGCATCGTGCCACTTTTTTTTAATCAAGTGTTGAAAGGTTCGAAAATGTCCTAAATGTTCGGTACACTCAAGCGAAATTATTTCGGATATTTGACATTTTTTACTATATATAGTCAATTTGGCCTATTGACTTCCATCGCCAGTTTTCTTCTCTACTTAGCCACTTGAAAAGCCTCAACAAGAGATTTGTTTAATTGACTCTGCTGGTAATTGGAATATAAGCTCAGTAACATGAAGCCATTATCTAAAACTTGTCTCAAGAAGCCTACCCGCGTTTTGATAATAGACCACCACGTTTAGATTGAGCAAATCATGTCCCACTGCGGATTTCGGAGGTCCTTCTTCCACATTTGAGCAGCTACCGATTTATTTTTCATGTTTCTAACGAAAGCGATAGGAAACGAACATATAACTCCAAGTATTATATGTTGCACCGAGTAAAAGTTTATCATGGTAAATGCAGATTTCTCTCTGTTAGAACGAAAAGTCTGTACCGTTTCAATGCAAGCGACGCTGTCGCCTTCAGATGCTATTCTCACGATAAATCAATGTTTTTCAAAGTGTTAAACTTTTGTTACGTCGTCTACAAAAATGGTTGATAGTACAGCAACACCAATTGATTACGTTGACGTACTTCGGCAGGCTAGCTATGATAAAAACTACACTGCAGCAATCTGTTAGCAACCCAACTTCGTAATGTTTCCAAGCTACTCAGTCTGGGTGATGTAGAGCACCAAGTTTTACGGTATAGCGTGATTGATGAGTAAGCGTGGTAAGCTGGGCGAGCTGGTATGATGACGTAGTGAGCAGCAAAGAGCACTGTTCCCTATGTCTCTCTCCTCGTTTCTTTGTTCTCTGTCCTTGTCTTTTTGTGCGCTATACAGTTAACTATGTGATGACTGTAATTGGTCATTACTGACTTTACATGTAGTTTTGACGGCAGCCCGAAATGGGTGTAAAGAAGAAAAAGCAGAAAAAGAAGGATGGCCAACGATTGTCTGTGCAAGCTGTATAGCATTCGGTAGCAAAAATAATAAGCTGACGCAAAACAATTTACCTTCGACTTTGCCCCAGCCTGCAATATAGGTTGGCACGTCTAAAGACGGTTCGACGCCGTTTTTCGGAAGGCAGATTGGCTCGATGAAATCTGTCAAGCTTACAGGACTTTTTAATTTCAATATCGCAATGTCTTGCTGTAAAAGAAATGTAATTGGTGAAATAATATTTTCAGCCAACTTAGAGAGAAAAAAAAACAATTGTAAGTTATTATAGGGGATACAATACCATAAAAAATGTACAGTCCTCCTGATCAGGGACGCAGACCTCCTCAACGTCAACGCAAATGACTTTGGCGTTCTGCGTCGCGTCGCTCTTTGTTGTGTCACTCTGTTTTGCGGCGTCACGTCGAGTTTGTTCATCAAAACAATCTGTGGACGTTGTTTTATTTGTGCTTCCGAGGCGCACAGAAAGAAAGCTGGCGTCTTTGTTCCTGCACGCATTAGATGGGGGAAGGAGTAAGCGGCAATGTAAATTTCTTATTTAGTTATAATATTCCCGTCGTCAAACCGTCAGAGATACCCGTTGTTTTGTTCGTTTTGGGGTTCAATTTTGGAGCTTTTCGGAACTACAGTGAAGTAGAAAACGCGACTAAGCACAAAGTTATCGTCTGTATTTTTTGCGTGTTTTTTTTTGTTTTTGAAGGGAATCTTTATTACATAATTGCCCCCATGTACAGTTTCCGCAAATTCTCTTCAGAGAATATGCATGTGCCTTGAACAACTGGTGCGTACAGTCGGCACTGAAAAGGATTGGCACAAGTGATCGACAGCCGGAATGGGAAAATCGCCACACGTGGTGTTGCTTTGTCGCGGAAACACGGTGCTCGAGGGTGGTCAGGCTATTTCCATATTTTAATCTTAGATGTGCTTCGGCAAATCGTTATTTCTTCGAAATATGTTTAGTTGGTTCTGCTACATCGGTACTGTTATCGTTATCGCTGCCATTTCAGCGTCTTTAAAATATGGTATGTTGGGAAAGCCTTGATTGAAAAAGATGGTAATATATTTTTAGTCTAATATTGCCGGTGAAAGTCTGAGTCAGGGCTGCGGTGTTGTGAAAGCGTGCTTTCAGAACTAAAACACCGATGGATATAAAAAAAATGAAAAAAATACAAACAAATCCAACAGACGTGTTTGATGATCTTAGAATTATCTCGTGTATTATGTTTTTTTACCGCGCATGCCAATTATCCATTTAGAGGCGACTTGCTCCCAACGTAAAATTGCAACAGAAGGGACACAATCATTCTTTTCTGCAGCCGTTGTTAATAACTGGAGGCTATCCAGGCGTTGGGTTTCCTCAGTCCTTGAGTTATGAACACATATAAAACATGTTATAAGCGTATTACGTGCGGGAAAATTTGTATTATTTGGAAGAACATCCTAAACCATCTGTTGAAGGCTGGCATCTATAGAGTTAGAAAGCCGTGCCAATGCTTTGTGGTTTAAAATTCTGATATCACACTGCAAAGTAATGTATCAGGAAATACATGTTATCCAAAGTGAAAAATTCACGTCAAAATATTTGTCTATACTGATTCAAAACGTTTTAGATATATATCTACGTATGTTAGTATATCCCGATAATGCAACATAAAAAATGCCGAAAACATTACAAACACTGGTTATTTGGGTGCAACAAAGGTGCGACGCATTTTATATTCTCTGTCACGGGTTGGAACAAACGTAATTTTTATCGTAAAAAAACAGGTGAATTGTGTACATACGCAAAACAATGTGCAGCGGTCAACACATATTGCTTGCTTATTAAAACGCCGCCGCAACGAAACGTATCGTTGCTAGTATAGAGCGCCACCATCCACGGCCAGTTGCCCGGATCTGCCACGGTACCGTTCATGATTCGTTCGGAAACAGTATTCCTTGTATAGCGCCGTCCACATTCGACTGTTGAGTAAAAATCATTCTGTTCTTCAGTGTGCGCCCTTCCTTCAACTCCTGTAAATAGAGGGAGACGAATGAGCGTTTCGCATCGGCCGTTAGATCATCTTAAGAAATAATGCATCCAAATGTTCTCCAAACGAACGATCTTATATTAAAGTTGTCAGCTGATTTAGCTAAATCCAGACGAGTTACGCTGAATGGCTATTAGCAGGAGTCACATGTTTCATCAGATGACAAAAGAACAAAAACCTGGAAAACTGACTCAAATGCGAAGCGTTCTTTAAATCAAAATCTGATTGCACCGTAATTATCAAAGTACACCGTATACTGAGGCGGTCTAAACTTCACTTACGTTTAAAAACAAATTTAAGTGACTCAGAAGAAATTGCTGAAACACTAAGAAGGCGCGGATCTAAAATCACCCTGCGTCCATTTAATTCTACCGATTCTCTAAACTACTCGAGCCTACAAGAATATTATATAATTAACTGATTTTCAAGATATAATAATTAAAACAGAGTAGTCGTTTAAAGAAAAAAAGATGCATCTGCTCTCCTGGCATAGTTAAAGAAATCCTCACTTTTGCATCATCAAAATCATTTTGGGGAACATTTTAAGTGCTGGCGAATTAAAACGAATTCATTTTGGAGAAAGTTATAAATGCCAAGGAAATAGGAAAGTAAATAAAAAAGAAACAGTCATTAAAAGAAATAATAAATGCACAGGAAAACACGCCTCGAAAGTTTCTAGATAGCCATGAAAATTACAGTAAAATATATAAACATATCAACTCTCGCTTGTTCCCAAGCCGTGCAAGCGTGCCTTGCGGGGCCTTGTCGGTCGCGTGTCTGGCTCGCAACCGAATCCCGCTAAAACTCTTCAAAACTTTATTTAAAACAAATTAATAATTTTATAAAGTGAAATCATTGGAAACATCAGGCGACCTTTAATTCGCATTACGCGTCATGTTTAATCGCTTTTATTTCACGCGTCGCATCACTTTTCACGTGAGCGTTTTGGGTTGTATGAAATTCGCGCGCGAGGTCAGGTGGCTGTGACGTCATGACCTTATCGACCAATCTTAGATTTTTGCGTCACGCCGCCGACATCGGCTTTTGTGCGACACGAGCTTGTGATGAAATAGGGAAGGCGCGGGAGGGCGCTCTCGTGAGTCGTGCACAGAAAGTCGGGACCCGAACACAACTGCCAAGCGCTTCCGCTTGACAACCGTCCCGCAACTGTTTTTTTGCGACGTTGTATTTTCTCGCAAGTGGGCCGAGAGGAGAACAACCGGGGGACGGGGACGCGTCTGGTATTGGGGAAGAGAGCTTCCCCGGCGCCGGGAAGAAATATCAGGAATGTGAGAGGAGGAGAGGCACGGGCTGAGGAAGCCAGAAAGAGCAGGTTGAAGATGAGTCGACCGGGGGAGTTCGAATGAGAAATATTGAGAAACATTTGAGTACCTGAGACTGAGTCTATGGCGATGAGAGATTTAGATAGAGAAAGAAAGAAAGAGAGCGAGAGATTCCTGCGCAGAAACTGTGGAGTTTTAGAGAATGCACTGTACTTTTGTCTATATTGTAAATATTGTGTAAAGACACTGCATATTAAACCAGCTTTATACTCGAAGCGTCACCGTCCTTGCATCATTATGAAAAAGAAGAGCAGCGTGAGCGACAGCGGTATCTCCAGCAATCCCCAAAAGCAACGCTCCAGCAAGTTTTAACGATCCTATCATCACACAGCTCCTTAACTCTATCGCGTTAAAAAGGACATTGACACGCCTTGGCAGTCAATCTGCGACATACAAAATATTAGATTGCACGTAGAACTTCAAGTTTTTTTGTTTTGTTTCTTCAAAACACAGTCCTATTTGCTGGCTCTTCAGTTGAGGGCCTCCACTAGGGCATTGCATTCTAGATAAAACTCACTATGTCTTCCAACCGACAGCCATCAAAGGCCCGTGCTCCAACACGGCAAGAGCAATTGTTAAACTGACACAAATACCATATTTTTTGCCGTAGGCTTGACTCCCGTAACCCATTGTCGTCGCGTACAAATGCCCCCTCTACGATTCCGCAAAGCAGCTCAAACAACTTCTTCCATGCGAATTCCGTATACTTAGTGAAACCTAACTTAATAATTTCCAGCCGTTCCTTGAAAGTCATAACCAATTTCCCTTGACTCGAAAAGTGAGTTCTTAGTATGTGAAACATTTATTCATACGGCCTATTTTGAAATACTTATAATTAACTAATGGACTCGTCAGGATTATGAGCATTAATGAATTTATCAGTTAAACTCTCAAAACACATTTTTGTAAAAATCCAGCCGAAGCTAGATTAGGCTGTCCTAAATCGGTCGTCTTGCTCTGTGTGCATTTCAAGGCTGTTGACGAGCGAGGTGTAGTACAGATACCCATCCTGGAGAGCGTTGGCATTATGACGACTGATTTAGCGCGTCTGGTGATCGACTGTAGGTCTAGCTCACGAATTAGCAAAAGGGAACAAATGTGAAGGCTGCGTGTGACACCCCTGCGTGTGTCGTGCATTTTTTTTTCTTGTCTTTTGATTTGTACGACGTTGAAATTTCGGTTTTCTATAGCGATAGGTGTTCCTGGCTTTTCCCTCTACTGAAAATGACGTCTGTTGTAGTAGTACTCGTTGTCAATATAAGGCGTAGGTCGTCCGTCGTCGATGTTGCAAACACTTCTAAAACATCACCCACACCCACGCGATTCGAATCTGGATCCGCTGCGTTGGAAACGGGAGCGTTGCCACTGAGTAACGCCCCAGCTATGACTAGGTGCATCACTGACTTTTGGTTTAGGGTGATGCCATTCTTTATGGTACCGTGTGTCGTCAGCACGCACTCTCTGGGGAAATAATAATTCTATAACAAACTGCCAGCGGCACAGTCAATGACAAGAGCTCGCAACAGGAGACCCCCTTTCGATCGCTACGTATTAAAACGGATCAAAAGCGTTCGGAACAGAATGGTCAACGTAATCGTTAACAGATCCCAAAGCGTTCCAAGCTGCAAACTCGCTGACGCTTGAAGAAAGTACGGCTCAATGCGGCAGACGTGGTATGCTTGGCGTCGCTGCGTGCTTGCATTCATATAGTTATGTGTAAGCTAGAGGTTCAACTGGCACTAGTGTGCTGTTGCAAATTGAATCCGACAGCAAACAGTCGCAAAATTACTTCCGGTAATGCAGTGCTACGGGAAAAAGTGAGGGCATATTCTCCCTGCGGACCGGTGCACTCGATCATAAGCGCCATCATCACGAATAGTTCATAAGTACTACGTAGCTTGGAACATACCGGACACTTCTTCAAATAGGGTCTGTAGTTATTTTTCTTTTATTGGACCAGCGGGCCGATGCCTGGATCGTCAAGTTGAGCAGAGCGAAGGTTTTTGCAATGTCCACACTTCGTTATTGCATGGCAGGTTTAGCAGTGAGTTGAGTGACATAAAGCTCAGTCTAGCAAATCCTCAAACACTGCTCGCTCTTCTCATTGCACGGGCGACATAAAAGACAATCGGCATGGGTGTGAAGCGCGCCAGCAGGATGTTGAATCTCGAAATCGTATAGATGAAGACGCTCCAGCCATCGGGCGACTTGTACATCAGTGGTTTTGAAACTACGCGTCCAGGTTAAGGATCCGTGGTCGGTACGAATAATGAATTTCCGGCTCACTAAATAATGATGAAAATGAGTTACGGCCCAGATGATTGCCAACAGTTCGCGTCGGATGACAATCTGTATCGTATATATTGATGACACCGTTGTCTTTTGCAAAACATCTTGTGACCATCTGGCAAACGTCGAGTGAACATTTACACGCCTACAACATTCGAGCCTGAAGCTGACACCGAAGAAGTGTTTTATTTTTCACCAGACAAATCGAATGCCTCGGGCACATCCTTTCAGCGGATGGTGTTTCCACGGACAACTCGCAAATTATCTGATCTTGCTTAGTTGCCGACATCGACAAACACCATTGACGTAAAGTGCTTCATCGGGTTGGCATCTTACTACCGAAGATCCGTCTCCAGTTTCGCCCACAATGCCAAGCTGTTGTAGGCCTTGATAGAAAATAAAGCAACTTTGTCTGGTCTACGAATTTCAGCACCGATTTCATACACAAAAACAGCACTTACGTCGCCGCTAACGTTTGCCTACCCAAAAGACACCACGGCGTGCATACTCGACACCGATGCTAGCGCTTTGGCAGTTGGCGCAGTCTTCTCGCAAGAACAGGATCGGCAAGAACGATTCATCTCATTTTATAGCCCTCTATTATGGGCATCTCATATTACAGTCGTCTCATATTATAGTGTACACCTAGCCTGAGAGAAATTACTGTAGAGGAGGTGAGGAGGCATTCAGTATTTTCTGTCGTGTGGTGGCGCCCGTTCTTTCTCTTTCTCGCTCTCTCGTAGTCGGATGCCTTTTCTCTCTCTCCCGGTTGCTTATTGGGCGACACTGAAGAACAGATGTTTTTGGCAAGGAAATAGAAAAAAAAAATTGGCGCTCGTCTTTAGTTAAAACAAGACATACCCTCCACTCCGTACCGTCTCCTCCTCCTCCCTTCCTCCCCTCTGGGCGGCAGGGCTTGTGAGGTTTCCTGGTTGCTAGGAGAAAGGGAGGGGAGAAAGCTGGGGGAAGAAACGGTGTATCCCAATCGTTTTCTCCGTTTAGTGGAAAAGGAGGAGACGAAAGGGAGGAGGAGGGGGTAGGAAGGCCGCGGAGAACTGGTTCCCCTTTTCCAGCACCGGACACGCGTGCTTCCTCTTCCCCACAGTAGTAGGAGGAGGAAGTGTAGAGGGAGGGTACCCTCAGGGTCTTCTGAGGGATCATTATCTGCTCCTCCTCCTCCCCTCTTTCCCCTCCGCGCTTTCCTTTTCCTACAAGCTCCTTCATACCACAAATGCACCTACGAACAGAACCTACAACCGTCATCGCTCATCGCGAGAAAAGTGGATTGATGCAATTATGATGCAATAAAATATGAAGGCGCAACCGAGCTGGACAAGAATGACGATAATAA